CACTCTAGAGTTTCCTAGCGGCCATGAGACACGAGAGAATTGCTTCTGAACGAGAAGAGGCAATGTAAACCCTTGCTATGGATTATTCAGATACTGAGAGTGACTCTACACTGGGATACAGCGACGATGAAGATTCCAGTGATGAAGTTCAAAGACTATCCGAGTCAGTGGACAGAAAACTGTATTTGCAAATATTTGGGATAATTTTTCATGCTCTGTGATTTCATTGAAAGGAATTTCTAACCCCTCCAAAAATGCTTAAGAAAAGAACACTACTAAACCTAACAGCTTTGTTCATTAATCAGTGGCAAGTTTGTGTAATATCTATTAATCTGCTGAACAGTAGCTCCTTCTGCAGTTGTTCATAGCTATTGTCATGCTGAAATAAACTAACATACAAGTACAGAAATGAATGAATATGATATTTTCATTGTTAAAGACAACATGCATGCTAGACCTCGACTGTTAGGTAGCTACACGTGCCTTTGCTTCCTATATAAAGAAGTATGCTGTGTTCAGAGGCTCTGTGTATGAAAGAAAGTTTTAAGTATGTTAGATATTATAATTTTGTTTATAAGATTCTCTTGTGGTCAATGTATTTTCAAAGTTTCATGTATTAGTCTATTAGAAATTATCAAATATCCTGATATGCCAAAAAGTAAAACTGAAAGAATGCTCAGTTTTTTTAAAAAAAATCACACCATCTCCTTCTTTCTTCTTTTTTTCCCCCTGTCTCCTTTTCTGCATGTCTAAACTAGTATTACGTGAAGCCTCTGAGACACTGGTAGATGTTCTGTGTGATTCCAGTATCATAACAGCTATGTATGGACAGATATAAGTTTCATAACAGCATGGAGCTATTAGGAGCTTTCTGTTATATGAGTATTTAATATTTCATATCTCAGTCCAAAGGATATTTGCTTTTACTTTAGCCCTTGGTCCTATAAAGGAAATAAGCATGCATAGTAAATCACAGTATTGGCTTATATTCTTTTCTTATCAGAAGTTTCTACAATATCTCATAAAATAGGGGGTGATTATGTGTCAATACTATGTCAGATGGCATTTTTCTCTCACAGGAGCAAACTGTTTGGGTACACAGGGATGGAATTTCCAGACACCTGCATAGACAAGCATGGTGGCATTAAACATCTATCTTAATCGTAGACATGCAATAATAGTGTAATGGCAACAGGAATTTGGCATTGAGTGAACTTGGCGTTGAATGATTTTCTATTGTTATTAAACATTGTTATAAAGCAGCATAGCATGGTTAGGATGTAACTACAGATAGGAGTTCTAATAACATGAGAATCAAATTGGTTTATTGGTTTAGCTTTGCAGTTGGGCACCCATTAACATATTAATGCTGCTTTATTAATTAAATATAATTTATAATGATGGACAGAGAGGCATGAGTGCTTACTGCTTAGATGTAATCCTAAGCATTAAAATGAATTTAGGATAGTTGTTCATTTAAAATCTTATAGCAGAGTGTATAGGTAGTGAACTGGTGAGAAAAGAACATGTACTTTGGGACCAGACAGATCTTTGTTCAAATTCCAGGACGGAAACTCATTAGCAATGTCTGTTTTTTGGTGTATTACATATATCCCCATGTGTAAATTTCAGATAAAATACCCTCTGTTATATGTATTAACTGAGATTTGTGCAAATTATTTAATTTGTTTCCTGGTACTTCTTGTTTACTCACTAAGTTGTATCTGACTCTTTTGCAACCCCTGGACTATAGCCCGCCAGGCTCCTCTGTCCATGAAATTTTCCAGGCAAGAATACTGGAGTGGGTTGCCATTTCCTTCCCCAGGGGATCTTCCTGACCCAGGTCTCAAACCCACATCACCTGCATTTCAGGCAGATTCTTTACCACTGAGCCAGATAATAAATAGCAAATGTTACAACAAACTGTTTAATATGCTGTGTTGTTTATTCCCCATGTCACACATCTTTTTTTTTTCCAATTTTGGTACATGTCACATTACTAGGTGCTGAACCTGACTATAGGCTATAACTTTACACATTTTCCTTTTTAAAAATAAAATATTTTCAGTTTCTATCAATTATGTCACTCTTGATCTTTGATTTTTCATTATTTGCATTTTAAAATATATATGTATTTTCTTTCTGTTGCAAGGAAATAGCATCCATTTTTGAAAGTATATCCAATTTAGACCAGATAACATAAAAATTTTAAATGTTGAACATTTGTGATGAAAGCCTATTTTAAAATTTATATACACAGGAAACATTGTTCAAACGTGTTATTTTGTATATGTCATAGTTCTAAACACTGTGGACAATTTTAAGTTGTTATGGTAGAAGCGTCTTTCAGCTAAAATTAGTTTTCTATAAAGCTGTGGTGGATTTTTTAAAAAACACACTGGCAGCTATTTGTAGTAACATAGGCTGCCATGAGCAGTCTCCTAAGCAGTTAATCATGCAATTTATGAGGTTCCTCATGGCCATTATTGACGATTTGTCTGTTTTGTCCACTTTACCAAAAATTCCTACTCAAAAGTGATAATGGACTCTAAAGTATATTATCTATTTCTGTGGAATAGGAAAAGCTCACTTTGTTCTTGGGCAGTGATCTTTCATAAAACACCAGACAGCACCTCCACAAGTACAGACATGATAGTATTGGTGAATGAGAAAAATTAGACGTAATGAATGGCAGAACCATTTCTTTCTATGTGTTGGGCATTGTGATAAACTTATCTTTATTGTATTTAAGATCATTAAATTGGCACTGTTATCCTCATTTTTATAGACAAGAAAATTGAGGGTTTCACCTTGTCTTGTAAAACCAAGAGACTGTTACTCCAAAGCCTGAACTCTATTCTTCCCAAGGGTTCCAGACTCCTGGACCATATACTTACTAAGAACCTCTTATGTGCCAGCCATTCAGGATAAAATTGGGAGCAAAACTAGCCATCGACCGTGCCCTCGTAACAGTTAGTGAAAGGAGGGTAGAGTCATGAACTACGTGACCATGCAAATAGATATTTAAATTGTAAACTGTGACAAGTACTTGTATGGAGACGTGCCTAGGGCCATGAGAACAGACAAACAAGGAATCCAATCTAGCTAATTCAGCATGGCATCACTGAGCCAGGGGCACCTGGACCGAGATCTAAAGGATAAACAGTTGTGAACTTGTCAAGGAGCTGGAGAGGAAGTTCCTAGGCTTAGGGAAGGTGTGGTAAGAACTCATGAGAAGAAGGAAATGAGGTGTTCAGTCATTAGGAGGAGACCAGTTTGGCTGGAAGGTAGAGGATGTCGGGGAGACATTGGGAGGATCGCACTGAGAACTGGAGAGACTGTAACAGAAATTTCAGAGTCAGAAGAGAACTTTGTATGGTGTGCAGGTTACAAATATACAAATTTCAGTAGGTTTTTTCTTTAGTAGCAATAACCAATAAAAAACAGAAATGGAAAAGCAATGCCATAAGAGAAACTGATGATATAAAAGCCTGAAGAATACTTTTTATAAAAATGCCAGAGCCCAACCGAAAAAGATTAAGAAAGATTAAGACATAACGCTAGATCTGAACAAGTAGACATGTCGTGCTCTTGTAGAGAAAATTAATATAATCAGAATGTCTTTCTTCTGAAATCAATGTAAAAATGTGATACAACTTTACTAGAATCCCATTGTGGGTTTCTTCAGAAGTGGAGAGTGATTTTATTTTTATTTTTTTTTCCATTTATTTTTATTAGTTGGAGGCTAATTTAAATCCATGGCTAATTCATTTCAATGTATGACAAAAACCACTGCAATGAGAGTGATTTTAAAGTCTGTATTAAATATGAATGCTTGAGAATATCATCAGGATATTTCTGGAAAAGAATTTTGGTAAGGAGAAACTGCTTTCCCAAATAGTAATAGTTACTACAAAGCAACTGCAGTCATTAACAACATAATACAGAGACAGTGAAAGAGAAAAAGATCAATGAAAAAATTACAGTTCAGATGTATTTGTGAGAAATTTGCGTGTTTTGAAAAAATAAAATACACTGGGAATATCTTTATTCTGAAAACTTTAAAAGCCTGATATTAGAAATATGTACTGTTCCAACTGTGATTTTTAGGTGTTATTAAGACCATATTATTTCCTATGTACATATCTCTGTAATGTATTTCAAACGTATATGTATCATTAATTAGATTAGCTTAGACATTTTACCTTTCTAGGAAACAAAGTGCATTTTCAAGTATAACTTAATGTTTCATGACAGTGGTACTATTACATTTTTAGTAGCTCAGAATGTGAATGTTAACTTACCAAATCCACCTTTGACCACTGGATAAGATGAGATAGCAGATTTTCAAATGTTTAAGAAGTTGATAGATACTGCTGCAGCAACCAATTAGTTGCTTGTAAAGCGACAATACATATATACATATTTCAATCAGAGTGATTAAGATTTGTTGAATATTCTTGAAGAACCTATGAACTCTGGTACAGGTGAATAACTGTTTAAGTTGCCAAAAGTTTAGCCACATAAGTACAGGGTCTTTAAAGTATGAAATTGATTAAAATAGATCCATAATTCTCAAGGTAATAATGATAAATTCATACACAAATGGGTTAGGTACTTAAGTTTCTAGAATTATATCTGCAGATCTTTTCTAAAATTTACCTATTCATCTTCATTCATGTCTTTATTATCCTCCAGTCAACTCATTAACTCTCCAGATAGGATAGGGAATGGTGACACAAAATTTTGTTTCATTTGTTTAAGTGAAACTTTAAGTTTGAAAATTATAACTACTGGATTGTAATTGTAAAATCTGTGTTATTAATAACAAGCGTTACATGGTTTCTCAGGACAAAGAAATTTGAAACATGAACAAATCTTAAACCTGGAAGAGGAAAAATCAGAAGAGCGTAATTTAATGTCTTGAATTAATCACAATGAACACTTTTCTTTGATTTTAAAGGGTGCTTTACTTGAACTGCTCTCTGTTTTTTATACAGGGAAGATGTGAGAACAGCAAATGTAATTGCGGCAGAAGCTGTAACCTGCCTTGTGATCGACAGAGAGTAAGTACTTTGCTTTCTTATGCATATTACACACTCGTATCAGTGACACACACAAGTTCCTGGGATGAGACATCACTTCATGGAGCTATTAATACTTGTTTTATATCTTTTTATTGAAAATGAGTTTTATATTTGATTCTAATTCCCTGTTATTCTTGGAAGTGGTTCACTCTGCCATTCTAACTTTGTAATTTTTAATAAGGTACTTAAACCACCATGAACTTCACCTCAGTTAGCTCATTTGTGAACTGGGGATAATGCATCATCATGTTGTCAGCATTGATGAGAACAGGTGAGAAAATCATCTGTCCAAGTGGTCTTTACCCAGGAGACGCTCAACCAGTGCTATTGGTGTAAATTTTTAGAAAATAATGACTATTAGTACTTTCAATTATACTTTATAAAATATTTATAGTATGTTCTATAATAATTATAAAATAGTATATTTTATATTAATACACTATAAATTTGTTGTTATTATTGTTACTAGGAAATGGACTATGCCTTGAGCACGTTTTAGTTTTCTCCTCTATTCTTCCACCCCCAGATTCCTAAAATAGAAGTATTTAGGAAGACATTTTTAGAGAAAGCATCAGTTCTAGACGTAGGCATATTTAGGGCCATTCCAAGTTTGTTCGGTGACACATCCCCCTGTTCCTTCTCTGTATTCTTCCTTGCTAGTCTCATTACCTGAATGCTTTATTGGTTAGACTAAAATGTCAGATTATTTTATTGACTCTCCAAGAGCCTGAGTAAAATGCTCCACTACCTGGAAGCAGTCCTCCAAACATTTTCTCATTGCTGTGTTTGTGGATACATCATCACAAAAGCCAAGTGCCTGACCCGGGAGAAGAACTGTAAAGCATCCATTTTAGTGGAGCCCTTACAGCTGGCATAGGCTGTGTCAGTGTGGAATGAAAGTGAGTGGCAGATATCATCAGAATGATGGAGCTGAATGTTGAGCTCAGGAGACTCTGGATGAAGAGAAATCCCACTTGATTTACAGATCTTACTTTTGCATGCCCCTCTGTGCTGGATCGCTAGAACCGGAGGGCATCATTGCAGGTTGATAGCCATTGTGTGTGTGCTGAGTCACTTCATTTGTGTCCGACTTGTGACCCTATGATCGGTAGCCCACCAGGCTCCTCAGTCCATGGGATTCTCCAGGCAAGAATACTGGGGTGGGTTGCCATGCCCTTCTCCAGATGATGTCTGTGCTGCTGCTGCTAAGTCGCTTCAGTCGTGTCCAATTCTGTGCAACCCCATAGATGGCAGCCCACCAGGCTCCCCCGTCCCTGGGATTCTCCAGGCAAGAACACTGGAGTGGGTTGCCATTTCCTTCTCCAATGCATGAAAGTGAAAAGTGAAAGGGAAGTCACTCAGTTGTGTCTGACTCTTAGCGACCCCATGGACTGCAGCCTACCAGGGTCCTCCATCCATGGGATTTTCCAGGCAAGAGTACTGGAGTGGGGTGCCATTGCCTTCTCTGAGATGATGTCTATACCCATGAATATTTCTGAAATAGATACTCTTCTTCTGGTTCCCAGAAACAACAACTACCTATTCATTCTTTCTTTCATTTGATTAGTGTTTTTTTGAGGCTTTATCACATACAAGGCATTGTTAGGTGCTATAAGAAGAATTAAATGAGCAGCACAGATCCTGGTTTGGGGGGTGGGTAACTTCTAGTAGAGGAACTGTGGCATTTACAAATAACCATCAGGTAAAGAAGAATGTAAGAAGGGTCCAGAGCCTACATTTGTGGGAGTCGACAACTTCTGGGGAGAGTCAGAGAAGTCTTCATGAATAAATGGTTTGACTAGGTAGATAGATAAGCATTGGAGCAGTGAGAGAAATAGAATGAATAGCATCAGCAGTACTCAGAGTAGAGCTCTAAGCCATTTCAGCTGGCTAAAGTAAAGCTGTATTAAGGTAGTTGGAGGAGGAAGTGTGACAAATAAGTTCACAAACATGTTGGGAAGATCACCAAATGGTAGAGAAGGGTAGCTCTGACAATTCTATGCAGCAAAATAGTGTCACTAGGGCACTGAGAAGGCTGTATGAGATGAATTAGAGGGAGAGGATACAGACAGAATATCTGGTTAGCAGTCTGTAAATCTAAGTGGTCATCACGAGATCATAAATAGGGGGCATTGTAAGAATAAAGACATAAACCCAGAGGGCTGAGCACTTGCCTGAATGTGAAGAGTAAGAAAGAAATTTAGAAGATCTAGGAGTATAGAAAAAGAATTAGTTTGGGAGGCATAAGAGTTATTCAATAAAAATATAATGAGTTTGACATACAAGTTGGACACTTAGGAACAGGTGCCTAGCAAGAGGTAGAAAATGTGGGACAAGAATGCTTGTTAGAGTTAACTTAAAATTAACCTTAAAATTTCTTACATAGAATTAACAACTGAAGCCATAAAACTGGATGGAATTACATGAAAGAATAGAAAAGATTAAAAGACCAAGTTTAGAATTCGGGAAAATTCTTACATGTAAAAGTGAGGCAGAGGAAGAAAACCAGTGATAAAACTGAAATGTTAGCAATCAGAATGGTGTAGGAAACCTCAGATACCAAGAGAAGATTTCAATAGAAAAAGGATAATCAGCAGAAATAAATGCAAGTGAGAAACTGAGAAGCATACATATAGAGAGAAAAGGGCAACACATTTAGCAACCTGGGAGAAAAATACATAATAAAATGGTGAAAGTGGAATCCAGATTTCAAAGAGTGGGTGGGTACTGAGGAAGTGAGAGCATTGAGACTAAAGGATTTTTTTTTCATTCAAGAAATTTAGGCTAAACAAAGAAAATAAAAAAGAGAGAAGGGAGGGCACATGAGGTAATAGTGAGGTCTTAGAGAGTTTCTTTGTGATGGTTCTACACAAACCTTGAGGAAGATGGGCTTCCCAGGAAGTCCAGTGGTTAAGACGTGTTTCCTTGATTGGGAAACTAAGATCCCACATGCCATGGTGGCCAAGTTAAGAAAGAAAAAAGAGGCAGGGCAGGGAGTGACACTTGATAGAAATGTGTCCACGGGGGAGGAAATTGTGAGCAAATAGGGAAAGAGAAATTGGAAAACATGTTTTGTTTTGTTTGTTGTAATTTTCTGAAGACAGTGAAAAAGAGAATAGGTAGAAAATTTGTAGAGATGTAAACAAGGAGAGTTATGGTAACTTGAATGGCCTTAATCTTCCCTCTAAAGCATGAGAGAATCTGATGAGGGAAGAATGACAGGGAGGCTGAGGGCGTGCCTGCTGATTGAAGATGGAAGGGTATTTGTACCGGTTTATATATCTACTTTCCTTCGTAATGATTCTGCCTGGAAGATGGGATGTTTAACAGAACAGGAAACTGAAGTCCATAAAAGTTTAATAACTTGTTAAGGCTTTGTGGTTAATATTAAAGCCCAGATTAATCAAGGCATGGAAACAAACTATTGGGACACTGAGAATTATCTAGCGTGGGTTCTTCAGTTTCATTGACTGAGATCCCAGGAGATGAAGGAGCATCAGGTAGCATCACATACATACTTTTGCCCGTATCCATTTTCTTTTTTCAAACCTACTTGTATATAGTGGGCAGTGAGGAGTGTATGGACTTTGTCAAATAGAGTCCAAAGCTCAACACTTGAATCTTTACTACACCATGTTATGACAATATGGGCAATTTATTTTAATTTAATTTCATTTTATTTTAAGTCTCAGTTTCCCTATCTGAAAACTGGGAGATGCCTAAATTATAAAATTGTTTCAAAGATCAAACAATTTAATATATGTCGAGGTCCACACACAGCACAGGATATGTAGTGAGTGCTCAATCAATGTGCCCCTTCCTCTTCTTAGAGAAGGTACTGGAATCTCCTGGATTCAGTAGTTTTTTTCTCTCTAGTCAGCATAAGTTTATTTTCAGAAGTGTATGCAGAGAACGTACCTTGAGGGAGATCTAGCTTAAAACATAAATAGAGAGAAGATGGCTTGAATCTAGGGCTCAAAAGGTGAATTTCTATGTCTTATCAGAGGAGTTGGGCAAGAATACTGGATTCAACCAAATGTTGAATCCCAGCTTAAAAAAGAAATTAAACTGTAACTGAAGGATCTTGTCATAATCCTGCTGCTAGTAGCTAATTTATGGCCAATTAAGGGAGCACCAGGGCTTCACCCATGCAAACAGATGGCAGGCATTAGAACTGTCGACACATGAAGCTTCTTTCACAAACTTACATCTGAGGTACCATGTTATGTAAGCCAGTGATTATGCTTTATTATTCCAGAGGGAGAGCAAAAGAACATCATTGTAACTAATCATGCATGTCGGAAATTTTTTTAAAAAAAGCTCATTGACAAACTAGAAAATGATAAACAGATACATGTTGTTCTCAAGAAGCATTCTTTGAGGATCAGTTTCTTACATTATTTTCATAATTATCTGCAGTGATTCTAAAATTCATGAAAATTGACATAAAGAATTTGAATCTAACAGAACAATCTATTTCCATTAATAACATTCTTGAATACATAAAACACAACTAAGTATATTTAGAATATCTTACTTTAGAATCCATGAAGAGAAATAAATGTGAACGTAAGTATATCTTTGTGGCCCATAATCAGTTATGCAATCCACTTCTTCATCGGTGTGGTAAGTTATTAGTGAAGTTAGGAGTTTAAGTAAGATGACATTTTTTGATACATTGAGATCACTGAATATTTACTAGTAATTTTATTACTGTTTTTAACAAAGAGTCACATATTTTCCCTCAGAAAATTAAAATCTAAGAGTCTAAACTCTATCCCTCATTTACTGTATAACTCCAAGATGCAGCCATATTGGTTATGAAAGTTGAAATGTTTTCATGCTAGTTGGTAAACAGCAATGGTATGAGTTCCCTTTGTGTTTCTCCCACCCCTTTGCTCCCTGGTCCTCTGCTTCATCCAGCCAGGAATCTCCAGCCCTATCCTTGATCCAACAGCTAGAAGAGGGTATTTGGCATA